TATTGCATGCTATCCATGTACATACATGGTTTTATGAAATTTCACTAATTTGTTCTGATTTATAATTTGTGGGTATAAATTTTTACCTTCTGCAACCATTTTTCCTAGAGTACCACAATTCTGTTGTAGAATTTAATTTTAGCAAATTTTTTTTCCAGTGAAATTTAACTCCAATAATTGTAGATGTAAATGCAGGTATATGTATCAAAAAATTTGAATGGATAATTCTCCCCTAGTCAGTTTTGGTCATTGCCTGATTTTAGTTAGAAATTCAAACTTGAGAATCAGCTTTAAGTACCTGGATAATTTTTTTAAAAAGAGCTTTCCTTCTCTTATTTTTTCAAAATATTTCAGGGGATACATGAATTCCATAGAACCGTTTTTGTACACTTTTCTTCTTTTTAATTAATGATTCACACCCAATTAGGGTGTGTGAAACACAATATGATTTGGCCATACCCACTTTTTACAGCATTAAAAGAGCGTTTTCCTTCATTTTAGTCAATTACAGGTGGGGTCAAGATAATTTTAATGATATGAGTACTTGAGATCACTCCTTAAAGCACTAAAACTGCTGAAATCATGATCAAGGGGCTAGATAACTTTGTTCAGAGGCTTGGTAGTGATGTAAGAATCCAGGATTTCAGTTTTTTTTCAGAGATTACAAATAAATTTCATTTTGTTGGAAACGCAAACTAGATATTTTTCCAAATTTGCAATCTGTTAGAAACGCAATCAAAACCCGGCTTATGGTATACATGTACATGTATTTGATGCCCTTGTGCTTTCAGATGTACAAATGTACAAAAGTGGAGAATCCTTAATTTTTATGATATACCATATAAGATTTGTTGGCGGGAGTGATATTTGGTGAATTTGCCTGTGGAATGAAATTCGCAGATTTTATATGGGCGATTTTGTGCCAAGTGCCATTGAGCATGCTCAGTTTGCATGGTATTCTGACACATAATATACTTGTCCTTTTTTTGTGTAGAAACTTGGATCTTGTTTTGATAAAATTTGGATTCTGTACATGCATGTACATTGTACATGTAGTACTGTGATTTTCCTATTTTCATTACATTATACATGTACATGTACATGTATAATGTTCATATACATATGTACATGTATGTTATTCATTATACATGTCATACATGTTACATGTACATTGCACGTTACTGGGCAAAGTCCAGTAAGATGAGTAGAGTTTGTTTGTCTGTCTGTTTGTACACGTACGTATTCCATATGTACATGTAGCCATAAAGGCATCTAGAATTCTAGATACGCATGCATGTACATTTAACTATGATTATTAAATATTTTGCCTACATGTACAGTATGCTTATACCTGCACTTCCATAGGCTAGTGTGTACTTATTCTTCGGCTGAAACCACACGCTGCATACATTGGCTAGAGTTGTTACACACTGGATGCTCTGTATTATTCTATGTATCATGAGAATTTTACAGCCCCAGAAATTTATTGCATGATCTTACAGTAAATAAGTTTTTATTATATCAAATTTAACATACATGTACATTTGAATGCTTCACATGTGTTGCATGGCATGTACACGTACACGTACATGTACATGTACATGTACATGTAGATTTCTTTTTTGAAATAGTTATGTTTGTAATTGCATAGATCACATTATAAGGCTTGCTGATATTCTCAAACTCAATGAACCACTGACGTTACTTCATGGACACAAGAAAGCTGTCTCTTATGTGCAATTTCTAAATGAGAAAGAACTTGTATCAGCGTATGTCCTCTATCACCCCCTCCCTCTTATTATTTGCATTAAATGTACATTAAATTCAGGGTTCTGCCTACAAAAAAAATTATAGTTGCTTACAGACTCTTATTGTTCCTTCCAAATTATGTACACCATACTAGTTGACTAAAATATCATGCTTTATGTATGGTCATTACTATTAATTGGATGGTTGGTCTAAGTGATGAACTGGTTGGTTCATTTGTTGAGGTGGTTGTCCGATCCACCATAGGCAGCAATATTGCTGCCTAATTTTTCATAACTTTTCTCCAGTTCTACAGATAGTGAGTTAAAGCTTTGGTCTATTGATACTGGCAGTTGTCTCAGAACTTTCAAAGGTCACGTCAATGATAAGAATTTTGTTGGTCTCTCAGTAAATAACGGATACATAACTTGTGGTAAGTACAGTCAAATTTTGTATGAGTGATCACTAAAAAGATTTAGTAATTGTACAGGTATAATTAATATATTTTATTTCCAGGTTCTGAAAATAATTCTTTTTACGTATATCAAAAGTACGTTAGCAAACCCATTTTAAGCTTCAAATTTCAGTTATCTCGAAACATACTAGTAAACCTCATAATCGGTAGATCATTATTATCATATTATTTAATAGCCTTCTGTGAATGAGCACAGATCAGATAAAGGACCTGAGTTTGTGTCTGCAGTGTGTAGTAGAAATGTGAGTGAGAGATTGAGTTTGAAAACAGTACACTAATTTTTTTGTTAGGATTCCTCTGGCATAGTGGCAGCTAACAGTCAGGGGTTTATTAAGGTAGATAATGCATTTACAATGTATCAATAAAAATACAAATTTTAAAAATAGTAGTCATTTTATTTATTTATAGATAATAATGGTACTTTTTAATTATTTTTCGTTTAGGTGCTTAAAATGCAATAGCTGATGTCTCTCTTTTTAAATCCGGCAGTATTAAATATTATTATAAACTATTATGTATACTACAAAAATGATTATTTTTAATGAACTTTCCTAACTCAACCGCGTACCGACAGGCTACATTCCCATGAATGCCATGATCTACTTCTACCTATGCTTCGACAAAGCATAGATATTTTGTCATTCATACTTACTAGACTGTGTACAATTGGGTGCATTAAGTGAGGTGAGTGAGAGAATCACCTCATTTTGTAAATATTTAATCTGCCATGCCCTGTTCATTGTCTCTCTAGCTGTTAAATGGTGACTATTCAATGAATTCAGAAACAAATTCATGTGTATACATGCAAGCATAGCCTAAACAACAGATGGCCAATTAGTAGCAATTTCATTGATAAGGATCATGACATTTTCATAATTGAAGTACCAGACATTGTGCTTACAATTGCACCTTTTTGTTTTTGTGAACTTAAGTATTATAACACAATAACATTAAGTAAAAGTAGGAACAATAATAATAATAAGATTTTTAATTTGAGATTGCAAAGCCTAGAGCATAATAATTAAGAAAATAGATACAAAACAGGGGGAAAAGAGAAGATTATAATAACTAAATATAATAAGTTCTACATATAGTACTTCAATAACATGAATTTACATGTAATCTTTACATAAAGTAGTCTGAGAGGCTTTGTGCTCTTTTTTTTATTAGCCTTGCTTTGCTGCAGATTCTTCTTTTGACCACATTCTGCACAGACATCTTTATGATGTAACCGAATGTGTCTCTTTAAATTGGTTGATGTAGTGTAGCTTTTGTCACATCTTGTAATGGGACAGAAATGTCTTGGTCCAAGGTATACTGCATTTTTTTGTCTCTGCTTACATTCATAAGGCATGGGAGCATGCATGGTTGGACCATACATATACATGGGACTAGACCATGGTGCAGGTGAACTACCAATGTAGTTAGAGTCCTGATTGAACTGAGGAAGCTGGTATTCTGCAGTCACTGGGGTTATGTGGTAATTTGTATGGTCTATTGTCTGTTCTTGTGGCAGTGATGAAACAGAATGTGAGAATCTGCAGTTCGTGTTGCATACTTGAATATTTCGTCCATGATATCAATGAGAGTAGACCCTGCTCCTATCTCACTATTAACTGCCATCTTGTCTTTTTTGGATTATAACTGTGAACCAGCCTCTTATACAAAATCATACATGGGGAATGTCTCTCAAAAATTAGCACCCATGCACCACATGATACTATAACAAATGCAGATAAACACTTGCGTATAGTAACATGTATAAAAGTGGATATACTTCAGTTGTTAGATCATTCACATTATGTAAATAGTGGTCTACTATCATCAATATCTTTCAGCAAAATAAGTATTACACCCAAGACCATCAATTCCTAAAGAAAGATGTGGCTATTCCATAATCACCCAATGTTCCATTACTGTGATGCTGAAAAAAAATGGCCAAATAAACCTTAATTACAGAATAATCGTAAATGAATGTTGATAAAAAAAGTTTAATGTAGCTATTGACACTCTGGTGACCCATGTTACTGGTGGCTATACAAAGTTGGTATAATGATATATTGGTTTGCAATTTTAATGTATTAGGTGTGATAATTGTGATTGAGTATTACAATAAATAGTGCAATTTTACACCAAATATGCTAAATACAAAATTTCACTGCTGTACATGTACTAAAATTATTAAATCAGAGTTTATCAGAAAATCATTGACAAAAATTTTCTTAATTAAAATGAACCGCGAAATTAACAAAATGTAATACCTTACAAAAATTATCAACCATACAGTATACAAGGGATGTAGTCAGTTACCTACATGTACATTGTAAATGATTTACAATTAACATTATTATAATGTACATTTACCTAATTTTATTAATTTTGTGTTCATGAAATGTATACATGTATGTAGGACATTGTAAATAGAACTGGTTTAGCATAATGCATTAAATGAACACATCTTGAAAAATTGTATAATGAAAATTAAACTTTTAAAATGGATTATCAAGGGAATTTATTTTAATTACAAATGGAATTGTATTTGAATACACTATATGTGTACATGTACATATGTGAATGAGTTCATTTAATTATTATTATGATTTTCTCCTCCCTTTAGGAGTTATATGGTATAGATGGTTATTAATGGCATGAGTAAGAGGGTTGGTTCAGATGACAATGTATCTATTGACTATTGGATGCCAATACTGTATCAGAAAGAATGTAAGTATTATTTCATTTGTGTTGGCTGTTGTTTTAATTATTATTAATTTGGGCGAACCTAAGCAAGCCCCACTAAGATGAAAAAGTAGGAATTTTGCCTGCCTGTTTGAATGGGTAGTCTAGCTATTTTTAAAGTTAAATAACTGAATAAAAAGGCATCTATCATGAAGTCTGAGCTTTGCAGGAAAAGGGGTCAGCAAGATAAAATTAATGAAACAGCAATCAATGTCTGAAGACTTCTCTAGCAGCAAGGAAGGTTGGGATAGCAGATATCATGTGGCAGCAGCATTGCAAACGTAGTTGGGCACAAAACGATTTGCAAGGCATACCATGATTTGGCCACAAAACCTTTTAGTGCGAATTTTTAGCGTATATGATGCATATGATGTATCATAAATATATTTTCCGAAAAGGAACCCTATCCAATCTGTGAAGTCCTGATTCTCTTGGAAATTATTATGAAGGCTTGAAAGCAGAAAAGACTGTCTCTTGCATGTCATGCTACAAATGGTAATTTTTATTAACTATTATTGTATCATTAATAGTTAATAAATTAATGGTTAATCATTAATCTGGTCAAAAATTTTTGTTGGGTATTGCCCATCAATGCCCTACCCTGCCATTCTCTATAGTAGTTTCTGTCCATCTTTTTTTATCTCTCCCTCCTCTCTCTCTCTCTTTCTTTTTCTCATCGTCTCTTTGTCTTTTTCTCTTTCTCCTCCCTCTCACCATATCAAGTGGCCATCTCTACCTCCCCTTCAATCTACAATTTAAAATTATGATCATGGAAACTCTTCTTGCACATAAAAATAATTTGGACAAGCCAGACATAAACAACATGAGTATGGACATATGCCATCCCTATGTGAAAAATATTTTCTTAGGGTGTTACAATTATAGTTTTTTTAAATTCATTTTGCAAAAGCTTGCCGACACTCTGGCTGAGTAGTTGAAATTTCTAGGAAAAGCAAGAAATGATGACATTTGATAACAAGTTTTGTAGGATCTCAATTCAAGCTATCTTTACACAGCAGTGATGTCAACCATGTGGTCACTTACATGTACATA